ATCGTTATGTTCTAATTAAATACAAATATCCAATAAAAATAACATTTAAACTAATAAACGATTTCGGATTAAAAATTAAAATCCCATTAATTCTATAGAAATTGACTTGTTTATATTTGGAATATGAAACTGAACAGATATGGCTTTCGAGAAAAATCTGATCAAAGAAATGGGCTTAAAGGCAACTAGAATTTTGCTTGGCTGTGATATTATTAGGAATCACTTGGATTATATACTAACGGATTTGTTACCTTTACTATCTCTCTCTCTCTCTCTATATATATATATATATATATATACACACCTACATGTGTGCGTACACTTCTAAGTATTTTGTTACAGTGTAACCCGGGTATAAGAGACCCGGATATAAGAGAAACCCGGATATAAGAGAGATTTTCTCTGGTCCCAAAGTGTTCCCATACTTACCTAAACAAAATAGACCATACCCGAATATAAGAGAAACTTGGATATAAGAGACTTCTTCTCCGGTCCCGACAACTATCTTATATCCGGGTTACACTGTATTACACTATGTTAATATATTATGCTTTAAATTTTCCTAAGAATTCGAATATTGTGTTTAATGATTGTTGGATAATTTAGGTTTTAAATTATTTTTCTAACGGTCTTTGTTTTTTGGTTTTTTTTTAGGTCGCCCATCTTAATTTATGAAGATAAAACATTTATGTTAACACTTTCAATCAATTAAATTTAGAATGCTTTGCGTACCATCATATCAATTATTATAATTATTATTATTATTTGTTTAGACGCTCATGCCTTAGACGCTCAACGATGTTAACATCTAATCTGCCGCCTGATAATCCTGAAAAAAGGAAGCTAATGCATAAAATCTGATTGGCTGTCTCAGGTGTCAAGGAAATTGTTTCGCGCTTCGCGACATCGATTCAAAGATAAAGTGTCGCGACATTAAGACTGAATAATGCTCGAAAAAAAAATCTGTAGCGCACAGACCGGAAGCCCACGTTTGCTTCATCTTCTCAGAGATGGAAATACAACTGGAACGGCTGCTATTGTTCACAAGATAAAAGACGAATGAGGCTAAAGAAAGAGACAATAACAGGGCTACAGCGACACTGAAACTCGTCGTTCACGGAATTAATTTTATGGCGCATCGATTCTCATATACTGGTCATTCGTCAATTTCGTTTTTACACATATTAGGGTGGGCACAGAAAATAGGTTCGGCCAGGTCTGTTCATTTCGCATAAATATCATTCGAAAGGCATGAATCCATCATTTTTCCTCTTAACTAGGCGTTAACCCTTTTGAGCCCTGCGTTTCTGAACAATTTGAACCCTCCTACTTGAGCTCCTGAGTCAAAATTCGCATATAATTGGTATGTAATGGTTCATGGTAGATATAAAAATAGTTACAAGTGTTTATCCACCGTTCAATTGGTGACTGGGCATTACGTCATTTTTCTCTACCACTGCTCAACCGGTGGCTGGGCATTACGTCATTTTCTTTCTAATATTTACCGACATACAAGTCCTGAGAGCAACTCAAGGTAGAGCGTCCCTGTCTTATGTATGAGCACATGAAAAGCAAAAAGAGACACTTCGACGTGATATGATGGTTAACAAGCTTGACTCGCTTGAACAATTACGACTGATTGATGAGTTTGATCCTCACTGGGTGACCCGTAATTTCGGCTTTGTGACAAATCTAATCTACGCTAATAAAATCACCATAAGAAAAGCAAGAAATACAATTTATGAAGTTATAAAAGATAGCCCCAGATTTGAAGATGTCAACATTGTAGTGATCGGGAAAACATCCTCTCGGGAGACTGTTTCACAAAACGGCAGTTCTTGAGAAAAGCTGTCCGGGTGGAACTTCTTTCTTGTTAATTGAATACGAGGTGGGTAGGATGATTCCTGGCATGGTGGGTACCAGTTGCAAAGGTCAGGACTGGTGGGAACAAGGAAGGAATCTCGCCAGAACAAATGCCATAGAAATAGCGATAGACAACGAGAGGCTTGCGGCGTATCGTCTTTAGTGTTGGAAATTATTCATCACATAGGACGCTTTTGAACTCGATCAAGAGTGGCAAGTGAGGATTGGTCAGTTCCAGCCCAGATATTATCAGACCTCTTCCGTTTTGGTCTGATCTCGTTTTTGCAAAGAGAGAGTATAGCACTAGAGGTGGGGCTGTCAGATACTGGAGCGGAACAATGAACCGACTATTTACCCGCCATCTTTAGCAATAAGTCGAATATATGGGTTCAACTTGAGGTCTAGGAAGAGCTTCTCTCAATAGGCGTTCAAGACAAGGAACCTGCCTGAAAGAATAACCATTCACCTTGATAGATGGAAATTCGGAGTTTGTTCGATAATACGTTATTAATTTGGTTTTGCATGTATTGAATTTTACAAGCCAGTCCTTTCCCTCATTGAACCACCCAGGATAAGTCAGAGTTGAGATTAGCTGCTAGGTCTGGTTGCTAACCAGTTTTGGAGAAGAACAATTGCGAATTAAAAACATACTTGCTACAGAAACTATGACAGCTACACTTTGAGAAGTAAGGCTGTGGCCCTACCGTAGTGAGCCTATCACTCTACACACGACGAAAGAGTCTACGGGATTAACATGCAACATATAGATATAATATTTTTTCACACTATTTATTTTTCTCGGGCTGTTGTCCTCATCTTTACTGTCCTATTCAAGACGTTTCGACCGTTGTACGCTCCAGATTTCTTCAGGTGATATCGGTTAGAATTTCAAACCGAAAACTTTATATAGTCCACGAGGGCAGATAGTTCAAGTTCCACGTCAAAAATAATCAAGCAGCTGAAACTCCTAATAGATAGTAGAGTTTTCGGCAACACTCACATACACAATACGCAGTATAAAAAAAGTTAACAAGAAAAGAAACAACATATGGTTTAACCAACTATACAAAAAACGTAAAGACAAATGTAGGGAAAATATTCAATAAAATCATATGCAAACTTCCCCACCGAATAAGCACTCCCCAAAATATGTTCAACACAGTAGAAATCAACTACAGTTGCACCGAGATCGTAAGACAAATAATAAAAATATACAACAGAAAAATAATCAACAAAACCTCCATGCACACTAAACTCACCTGTAACTGCAGAGCAAAGAACGAATGCCTCTTAAATGGCAACTGCCTGCAAAACAATATAACATACCAAACGACTCAACAGACAATGAAGAAAACTATGCACATGAGTAACTGAAGGACCCTGGAAACAGAAATTAGTCACACAAAACATACTTAACAACTAGTAAATACGCGAACAGCACAGTGCTTTCTGAACATAAATGGATAATAAATAAAAACAATACACCCAAAATATCGTAGAAAATAAGGAAAACTCCATCCTCCATGAATAAATCCCAAAACTTTGTTATCACTTTTTAAAAAAATAAAATTCCATCCAATACAAGGGTCGAGAACCATTCAAGGTGAAGATAAACTGAGTAAAGTGTGATTTAAATATAAGCGGATATGGTAGGAAATAAAGCTAATGAGAATAAGGAGGGGAGATAACAACTGACCTTTAAGTTGAAGAGGTTAAGATTGTAGTGTTCACGGAAGCACACACGCGTGAGCCTGTTTAACAATGAAACAATTGTTGAGCAAAAACTGAGTGGAAGGTCCTTCTAACAGTTGGAATAAAGGGGAAATGAGTTTTTGATTTAATCCTGTGGACATAGTAAGCCGAGTTCTAGCTGTAAAAGTTTCAGCTAGGAAATCTTAGGCACCCTTTTATAGATGGTAACAAAAGAAAAAAAAGAAAATCCGGCAAATTGATGTCTCTTCCCCAAATCGTAACAAGGAAAAAGCAACGTTTTCGTCAGACTAATAATTTAAATGATTCGAAATCGTCGCAAGTATTATCGAAAAATGAATATTTCTGACCTATTTTTAATCATTATTTCCTTGAACAAAAAATTAACAAATAGTATTCCTTAGAGTGCTACAAGAATGAATCTTGCATAGATATTAGAACCCAAAGGCAATGGTGATCAGTATTTAATAATTAGATTAATAAATCGATAGTGAAAAGCATTAGTGAAATCTTAGCAAACAATATGATTTATAAAAGAGAATCTAAAATGAATTGGATTTCATGCCTTATATTAAAATTTATTTATCACTTTATTTTCTTACACTATTTAAAAGAAATCATTCGTTATTTATACCAAAATAAACGAAGGCCATTTATAGTTAGCTGCACAGATAAAAAAAACATAAGTGATTGTTTCACGGTTGTGTCTAGAAATGAGAATAAGAATAACTTTTATAGGAATCACTATGAAGAGAATAAAATAGAATATGAGAATGAGAATAACTTTTATAAGAATCACTATGAAGAGAATAAAATAGAATATGAGAATAAGAATAACTTTTATAAGAATCACTATGAAGAGAATAAAAAAGAATATGAGAATAAGAATAACTTTTATAGGAATCACTATGAAGAGAATAAAATAGAATATGAGAATAAGAATAACTTTTATAAGAATCACTATGAAGAGAATAAAATAGAATATGAGAATAAGAATAACTTTTATAAGAATCACTATGAAGAGAATAAAAAAGAATATGAGTATAAGAATAACTTTTATAAGAATCACTATGAAGAGAATAAAAAAGAATATGAGAATAAGAATAACTTTTATAAGAATCACTATGAAGAGAATAAAAAAGAATATATAAGAATAACTTTTATAAGAATCACTATGAAGAGAATAAAAAAGAATATGAGAATAAGAATAACTTTTATAAGAATCACTATGAAGAGAATAAAAAGAATAGGAGAATAAGAATAACTTTTATAAGAATCACTATGAAGAGAATAAAAAGAATATGAGAATAAGAATAACTTTTATAAGAATCACTATGAAGAGAATAAAAAGAATATGAGAATAAGAATAAATTTTATAAGAATCACTATGAAGAGAATAAAATAGAATATGAGAATAAGAATAACTTTTAAAAATAAGAATCACTATGAAGAATAAAAAAAGAATATGAGAATAAGAATAACTTTATAAGAATCACTATGAAGAGAATAAAAAGAATATGAGAATAAGAATAACTTTTATAAGAATCACTATGAAGAGAATAAAAAGAATATGAGAATAAGAATAACTTTTTATAAGAATCACTATGAAGAGAATAAAAAAGAATATGAGAATAAGAATAAATTTTATAAGAATCACTATGAAGAGAATAAAAAAGAATATGAGAATAAGAATAACTTTTATAAGAATCACTATGAAGAGAATAAAAAAGAATATGAGAATAAGAATAACTTTTATAAGAATCACTATGAAGAGAATAAAAAAGAATATGAGAATAAGAATAACTTTTATAAGAATCACTATGAAGAGAATAAAATAGAATATGAGAATAAGAATAAATTTTATAAGAATCACTATGAAGAGAATAAAATAGAATATGAGAATAAGAATAACTTTTATAAGAATCACTATGAAGAGAATAAAAAGAATATGAGAATAAGAATAACTTTTATAAGAATCACTATGAAGAGAATAAAAAGAAAAGAATAAGAATAACTTTTATAAGAATCACTATGAGAAAATGAAGAGAAAAAAAAGAATATGAGAATAAGAATAACTTTTATAAGAATCACTATGAAGAGAATAAAATAGAATATGAGAATAAGAATAACTTTAATAAGAATCACTATGAAGAGAATAAAATAGAATATGAGAATAAGAATAACTTTTATAAGAATCACTATGAAGAGAATAAAAAGGAATATGAGAATAAGAATAACTTTTATAAGAATCACTATGAAGAGAATAAAATAGAATATGAGAATAAGAATAACTTTAATAAGAATCACTATGAAGAGAATAAAATAGAATATGAGAATAAGAATAACTTTTATAAGAATCACTATGAAGAGAATAAAAAGAATATGAGAATAAGAATAACTTTTATAAGAATCACTATGAAGAGAATAAAAAGAATATGAGAATAAGAATAACTTTTATAAGAATCACTATGAAGAGAATAAAAAGAATATGAGAATAAGAATAAATTTTATAAGAATCACTATGAAGAGAAAAAGAATATGAGAATAAGAATAAATTTTATAAGAATCACTATGAAGAGAATAAAAAGAATATGAGAATAAGAATAACTTTTATAAGAATCACTATGAAGAGAATAAAAAAAATATGAGAATAAGAATAACTTTTATAAGAATCACTATGAAGAGAATAGAAAAAATAGAATAGGTGAATAAGAATAACTTTTATAATAAATTTTATGAAGAGAATAAAATAGAAAGAGAATAAGAAAATAAGAATATGAAGAGAATAAAAAGAATATGAGAATAAGAATAATTTTTATAAGAATCACTATGAAGAGAAGAATAAAAAGAATATGAGAATAAGAATAACTTTTATAAGAATCACTATGAAGAGAATAAAAAAGAATATGAGAATAAGAATAACTTTTTATAAGAATAACTATGAAGAGAATAAAAAAAATATGAGAATAAGAATAACTTTTATATGAATCACTATGAAGAGAATAAAATAGTATATGAGAATAAGAATAAATTTTATAAGAATCACTATGAAGAGAATAAAATAGAATATGAGAATAAGAATAACTTTTATAAGAATCACTATGAAGAGAATAAAAAAGAATATGAGAATAAGAATAACTTTTATAAGAATCACTATGAAGAGAATAAAATAGAATATGAGAATAAGAATAAATTTTATAAGAATCACTATGAAGAGAATAAAAAAGAGAATAAAAAAGAATACTAAGGAAGAGAATAAAATAGAAAAATAACTTTTATAAGAATCACTATGAGAAGAGAATAAAAAGATATGAGAATAAGAATAACTTTTATAAGAATCACTATGAAGAGAATAAAATAGAATATGAGAATAAGAATAACTTTTATAAGAATCACTATGAAGAGAATAAAAAATGAGAGAATAAATAAGAATCACTATGAAGAGAATAAAAAGAATATGAGAATAAGAATAACTTTTATAAGAATCACTATGAAGAGAATAAAAAGAATATGAGAATAAGAATAACTTTTATAAGAATCACTATGAAGAGAATAAAAAGAATATGAGAATAAGAATAACTTTATAAGAATCACTATGAAGAGAATAAAAAGAAGAATGAGAATAACTTTTATAAGAATCACTATGAAGAGAATAAAAAAGAATATGAGAATAAGAATAACTTTTATGAGAATCACTATGAAGAGAATAAAATAGAATATGAGAATGAGAATAAATAAGAATCACTATGAAGAGAATAAAAAGAATATGAGAATAAGAATAACTTTTATGATGAAGAGAATAAAATAGAATATGAGAATGAGAATAATTTTATAAGAATCACTATGAAGAGAATAAAATAGAATATGAGAATAAGAATAACTTTATAAGAATCACTATGAAGAGAATAAAATAGAATATGAGAATAAGAATAACTTTTATAAGAATCACTATGAAGAGAATAAAAAGAATATGAGAATAAGAATAACTTTTATAAGAATCATAAGAATCAAGAAGAGAATAAAATAGAATATGAGAATAAGAATAACTTTTATAAGAATCACTATGAAGAGAATTAAAAGAATATGAGAATAAGAATAACTTTTATAAGAATCACTATGAAGAGAAAAAAAAAAGAATAATATAAGAGAATAAGAATAACTTTTATAAGAATCACTATGAAGAGAATAAAATAGAATATGAGAATAAGAATAAATTTTATAAGAATCACTATGAATAGAATAAAAAAGAATATGAGAATAATAATAACTTTTATAAGAATCACTATGAAGAGAATAAAATAGAATATGAGAATAAGAATAAATTTTATAAGAATCACTATGAAGAGAATAAAATAGAATATGAGAATAAGAATAAATTTTATAGGAATCACTATGAAGAGAATAAAAAGTATATGAGAATAAGAATAACTTTTATAAGAATCACTATGAAGAGAATAAAATAGAATATGAGAATCAGAATAACTTTTATAAGAATCACTATGAAGAGAATAAAATAGAATATGAGAATAAGAATAACTTTTATAAGAATCACTATGAAGAGAATAAAAAAGTATATGAGAATAAGAATAACTTTTATAAGAATCACTATGAAGAGAATAAAATAGAATATGAGAATAAGAGTAACTTTTATAAGAATCACTATGAAGAGAATAAAAATGTATATGAGAATAAGAATAACTTTTATAAGAATCACTATGAAGAGAATAAAAAAGAATATGAGTATAAGAATAACTTTTATAAGAATCACTATGAAGAGAATAAAATAGAATATGAGAATAAGAATAACTTTTATAAGAATCACTATAAAGAGAATAAAAAAGAATATGAGAATAAGAGTAACTTTTATAAGAATCACTATGAAGAGAATAAAAGAGAATATGAGTATAAGAATAACTTTTATAAGAATCACTATGAAGAGAATAAAATAGAATATGAGAATAAGAATAACTTTTATAAGAATCACTATAAAGAGAATAAAATAGAATATGAGAATAAGAATAACTTATAAGAATGACTATGAAGAGAATAACATAGAATATGAGAATAAGAATAACTTTTATAAGAATCACTATGAAGAGAATAAAAAAGAATATGAGAATAAGAATAACTTTTATAAGAATCACTATGAAGAGAATAAAAATGAATATGAGAATAAGAATAACTTTTATAAGAATCACTATGAAGAGAATAAAAAAGAATATGAGAATAAGAATAACTTTTATAAGAATCACTATGAAGAGAATAAAAAAGAATATGAGTATAAGAATAACTTTTATAAGAATCACGATGAAGAGAATAAAATAGAATATGAGAATAAGAATAACTTTTATAAGAATCACTATGAAGAGAATAAAATAGAATATGAGAATAAGAATAACTTTAATAAGAATCACTATGAAGAGAATAAAATAGAATAGGAGAATAATATTAATTACAAGAATTATAATAATAAGAACAAGAATAAAACTAATACAATAAAAATAAAAGAATAAAAATAAGGATAACTTTAGATAAAACAATAATAATAATTATAAATATTAACAATGAGAATACAAAAATAAAAATAAATTATTGAATTAAAAGAATAAAAATAATTTAAAGCGTATGCGATAGAAATTGATTATAATAATTTAAATAATAAGTTCAACAATAAAATTATTTAATGAGAATAAAAATACTTTTTTTTTAATTATAAGAATAAAAATAAGAAGAACAATAATTAAATGATGAAAATAAGAATAAGAGAATAAAGGTATAACAATGAGATTAACTTAATTAGAGAAATTTTAGAAAATGCGAATAAAAATCAAATAACCACAATAAAAATACAAGAATGAAAATAGAGAAAATTTTAATAATAAAAGAAAAAATACGAATTGGGCGAAAAAATGTAACAAGACCAAGAAGAAGACGAAAACTAAAAGACACTAATGAAAGGAATAAAATCTTTTAAACTGTAACGAGAGAGAGGGGGGTGAGAGAGAAGAGGGGGGGAGAGAGAGAGGAGAGAGAGGAGAGAGGGGGAGAGAGAGGGGGGAAGAGAGGGAGAGAGGGGAGAGCGGGGAGAGAGAGATGGGGAGAGAGAGGGGGAGAGCGGGGAGAGAGAGAGGGGGAGAGAGGGGAGACAGAGAGAGCTATGAAAGAAAGATTTATTCTCTCATTTTTATTTCCCACCTTATGCGCATTATTATATTCATGATATGATAACAGTAATTCATAGAAGGAACGGAATGATTGAAAAGAAAACGAATGTCAAACATGGTTTGTTCTCAGAGAGACCCCTTATATCACTAAGACATACACTAAACTATATATGCATATATGCATGTCACATGCGGAAAACATATATCTACACAGCAGAGTGTAAGGAGAAACAAAAAGAGTCTAACATATATGAAAATACTTCTGTGTTTCTGGAGAAGGAATCTTTACGATTCCATATTAAAATGGCCTGATCCATCTATGTCCCAGTTGAGGATATATTCCATGAATGGGAAACAGCGAGTCTTGGATTTTCCCAAATTGCAGTTTTTGTATCTGGGAAAAATACATTGCCACAGGGAAACGGCACCATGGACTCCTTAGCTGTTGGCTCAGACAAAAAAAAGCAACCTCACGTGATGTCTGCTGTATGGAGTGACGTCAATAAGCGGCTGTCACGTGACCCATGCGACTTATCTTCAGCAAAGAGACATAATCGCTTTTTGTATCCCTACAAAACCAACAATAAAAATGAAAACAAAAGAACATTTATTATTTTTAATACAAATTAAAATAAACAAAATAAGAATAATAGATAGATAGATAAATAGATAGATAGATAGTCATCAGCAGGCTTAGATAGATAGATAGATAGATATGAACAGACTTTTAATAGATAGATAGATAGATAGATAGATAGATAGATATGAACAGTTTTTTAATAGATAGATAGATAGATAGATAGATAGATAGATACGAACAGTTTTTTAATAGATAGATAGATAGATAGATAGATAGATATAAACAGATTTTTAATAGATAGATCGAGAGATCGATAGATAGATAGATATGAAAAGACTACGATAGATAGATAAAGACAGAGATTGAGAGAGATGAAAGACCTACAGGAAGTCAACTATTCCCAAGCATCTATGTTTCGACTGAAGAGTTCAGATTTGCTAAAATCTGTATTGTGAATGCAGTGAAATCTGCTACTACAGCCTTTACAATGCGTCGATCTTGCTGAATGTCTGCATAAAATGGCCGTCCAGAATCTTGTATGCAGATATAAGGATGTTTTATTTGACCACTGTTTCTCACATAGAAGCAACACAACTATTTTTTTCAATTAAATGTTTAAATCATTTGAATCGACAATTTCAAATTGAACAAATGCCCACATTTAAAACTAATGCCAGATCGTGTGATTATCTCTATTTTGAAATAGTTGTGCTTTCAGAATTTAAAAAAAAAATGTGTACGAATGTTTAAATCTTTCCGAATATCTCTTCCCTACTCTATGCAGATAGATAGATAGATAGATAGATAGATATAGATAGATAGATAGATAGATAGAATGAGTTGGGTTAGATAGAATAAATTAGGATATATATATATATATATATATATATATATATATATATATATAGATAGATAGATAGATAGATAGATAGATAGATAGATAGATGTATATGAACAGATTAAAATAAACAGTTAAATAAATACGAACGGAGAAACAAAAAAAAGCTAGAAAGAAAGAAAGAAAGAAAGAAAGAAAAGAAAGAAAGAAAAGACAGAGATAACCAGGCAGTTTGAATAGAAAGAGAAAAACAAGTGAAATATTGATTGATTAATTTTTTTTACCGCTTATTAGCCGTTCGCAAGTTACTCAAAACCAGGAAATATGTTTATATTGTAAGAATTTGGAGTATAATAATGGTTTACTGATATAACTTTTACTAATTAACCCATATCTGAGGGAGAATAGCTGTTTTCACATCTTTATGAAGAGTATATGCGCGTAAATGAATATAAGGAACTCAACTGGAATTGGAACTCAATACTCCGATTTCCAATACCAAGCCATTATCCTTTACACCACCCACACATCCACGCTTATAGCACCTGATCTTCCCAAGCGGTCATCCATGTAGGTACTGACCAGGCTCGACGTTGCTTAACTTAGGTGGTTGTACAAAAATTAGTGTTTTTATGTGATATGGCCGTGAACAATTGATTATATTAATTTTTCGTCAGAATTACCTTTAATTTTCCTTTGTCTGCCACAGAATCGCATCTAACTTTTTTTTCTCGTCATTAAATATAAAACAGGTAAACTCCATACTCTGAACGACGCAATACTGTCTTCTTATTCCAACTTCTCAATTTGGTCCTGTTACAAATTCAACTAAGTTGAAAAAAACAAAAACATTATCAGTCATGGAATCCCCAAGAGTTTCTTATCGTCACCAAAGCCAGTAGCGCCATTGAACCGTAAATATCTCGAAAAGTTGGATTTTACTTACATTTTTGTGGTTTCTAAAAAAACGAATACCGGAAGATCGTAAAAAAGAGGTCAGGTGTTTTTTTTTGTTTTTTTAATAAATAAAAATAAAAAAGGGCTACAGTATATCTACTATTAATTTATGGCAATTTTTTTCAAAATTTCTTCTCAGGTTTAATCAATGTTTTCGCTTTGTCTATATTCTCAAAAATTCATCATCCCCACAAAGTTTATTTTTAATTTAATTTTTTTCGTATTCATGTGCGATTATTATTTAACGGCTTCTCTTTCCATTACGTTGTTTGCCCGCCTTTATCAATATATTCTATTCAGTTCTTTATTAAATCTTAGCTTGTTATGGCACAAGGTTATAAATGTTGAGCTCACTAAATGTGATACCGAAATAGAAAGAGTCATTTAGAATAGCAAAATGTGTCCGCCATATAAAAAAATGGTTTAAGAAACAGGAAAACTTCGTTAGAAACAAAGAAAAGAGTGCTACGTAATATCAATCACCAGATACAGCTGTAAATAAAGATGAAGAGGAAATTTCCGCCAAAAGAGATGTGGTTCTACAGCAGGATGCTGAGAATAACAGGGATGGGGAATGTGAGGACGTTTTAAGAAAACTGAAAGAAAAAAGGATAGTTAGTATCAAAAAGGAGACTGGTAAACTTTCTAGCATCCATAATGAGAAAAGAAGGCTCGGAAAAATTGACACTCACAATTTATATTGAAGGCAAAAACAACAAAAGGAAGGAAGCAGTAAGTAAACTTTGTGCAAAAGAATGAAAAAAAACTAGGAATAGGATTGGTAGTAAAAAGATAAAAATTGCTTCCAGTCAGAAAAGATAGGATGTTGTGGAGAGCCATGATCGCCACGTATTTGAAGGGATATGGCTCCTAAAAGAAGGATGATGAAAAGTATTTATCCACATAGGATTCTGTTCTACAAAGTAGCGATTCTTGGGAAGAGGTTTTCTGAATTAAACGTCCACTTTTATTAATGGAAATACGTTGGATATGTGGGTGGGTTCAATCCTGTGTACGGGCAAAGCCGCCCTTCGCTGTAATGGTTTGAAATAAAGAGTAGATTCATCTGACCATTTGGTATGAAAGTAGCGGTAGGCTTGTGATCATGCTTTGGTGGGAAAATAAGGCATTAACTCATCCCTACAAGGCCTCATAAACAATCTTGGAATTCTATCGATCTGCGGTAATATTTAATGAATATAAGCTGGTTTGCCATTACTATTGGATAGAAAGTCTGATCCCCACTAGGTGTCTCATGAAAAATTCATCATGAAATAAAACTAAGAAAGATTACTATGTTTACAGCACGGGGTAGAATTTATTGGGTTTAGTCTGGTAGACTTTTACTAATGAATAGTGAGCTCGATCCTTCCGTCGAAACTAAGCTAGTATTTTAATAACATTTTAATGTAATGAATAACCATAGGGTCTAGTTGACCATTGCTACTGAGGATTGAGTTTTATCCTAATTAGGTGCACACCGACTTTAAATAATGCAACTAGGGTTGACATAAAAACAACCAATTCTGTGTTGTTTTGGTTAAATGGTTTGTGTTATTTATTAAAATTAATTTAATTTTGACACAAGAACAAAAGAAAGGGACATCTAGTGTAGTTCGAACTCATGACTCAATATTCACGATATCGATTGTGATGACACAATGAATTTTACTCTCGTCTTAATAGAAAGTATGTTTCGATAATTAAATATAAAAAAAATAACTTTCAATCTGGTGTTAACGAGGCTAAAAAATGGCTTGTTAAATTTGAGACCTCCAAAACAAAACGAATAATCGTTTTAGAGAACCTGTTTTGCCTTGCATCAGCATGACTGATGCTTACTTCCAGTCGGAAGTTAAAATTTTTCTTTACTAGAACTTCTCAGTTATTAATTTCATTGTTTAATAAAGTAAAAAAAAAGAAAAGAAAAACTCAAACACTTATACACACTAAAAATAATAGTAATAAGAAATAACGTCGGATGAAAAAAAATCTTTCAATATATATTTTTAAGAAGATAGAATCCAGGTAGAGCCCAATATCCAGGACAGAGCAAGAATATAATATAAAAAGCTCAAACACTAATATTCCATGGTTATAATTTATTACATTGGAATCGTAATCACGATCCAATTCATCAGACACCTACAAATTCAAAAATTAAACGGAAACTATAACTCCGGGTGTAAAAAACAAATGTTAGTGAGATTAGTGTTTGCACCTTTTTATATATATATATATATATATATATATATATATATATATATATATATATATATATATACACAATATCCCACGTAATAATGGGTTATTACCATCATTCTTTAATTGCCAAAAATGACTGGAGGGAGCAGTACTGTTTATGTATCTGGCATTGACTAAAATCGTTCGATAATGGCAAAAACGAAATCGCCAAGGATTTTCAGTGTAACTAGAATAAAATTTGACATCCTTACCGGAATGTGCACTCGCTCGGTATATAATATTATCAGCCATATATTGGACGTTTAAGGGACAGATAGTATTTTTTCGGCAGTTGCAATTATATTTTTTTTAAATTAACTTAGCGGTGTCCGTTGGATGTGTATCTTTCTAATATAATATTGTTATGTTGGATATTGATTTATTGATGTTATTAACGCAGCCAAAAATCTTTTTTTTAAATATTAGTGAGTAATTAAAGGGCTTATTAATTAAATTTATGAAAATTCTTCCAATATTCGTCTGTACATTACATATTAAAAGGTGAATTAAACCATCCAATGTTACTTTTTTTGTATTTTTCTAATTTCTAACCTGACAGTTAGGTTGCTCGCTCACATATTCCGTGGTGGAACTCTACTGAGTTCTCTGTAAGACTGTGCCCCCTGGCGAGCGGCGCTATATTGAGTCTGATTTGCAATCTCTTCGTCACCGAGGCCCATTGGAACCGTTGGTATGATATTTGCTTGACAACCTAACTGTCTCGGTGAGTCTCAAATATAGGACGAAACGGCCGTCCAGTGCTTTCTGCATTCTGTTGAGGTTTCTTCTAGACTCGATGAATTATTATATATATATATATATATATATATATATATATATATATATATATATATATATAATCATTGACATACAAGCATGTTTCGCTGTATCACAGCTCATCAGTGTGGCTAGACATTCCTTACTTCATGCCCGAATCGAAACACGACCGATTTGACATTACTCAGAGATTCTACCGTTAAGCTATCGGCGCACGTCAGAGAAATGGAAAAATTTTAAACATTATATACGTGATGTATACAAACTCCATATGCTTTAATAGCAGGAG